AAAGGAGAGCCCAAGCAGGTTATCACAGTAATTAATCCTTGACTGATTTATTGAGAAATTACTTTCCTTTTCTGACGAGTTTGCTGACTGTGAATGACTGTGACGGTATGTAGTAGATAAATAATGGCCTTTAAAGCAGCTTGAGAAAATAACACTCTCATAACATTTCGCACAAGGCTGTTGTTGGTGCTGCTGGCTGCTCATTACTATACTGATGTTCCACTATCTCTGCTAGACAGCATTAATGTATGGCGGCTTTTACTAGCCCACACTTGACCTGCACTTTCCTTATCAGGGGCAAGTAAACAAATAGAGAGCTGAAGCCGCTCTCCTGCTTAGATCTGATTATCATAGAGCTCATCTATTAGGTCTAACCAATGAACTGCTACTACAAGGAAAAATCAAGGCTGCAAAAATCTTTCATATGTGTATCTTTTGGCACGAAAGCTCTTGTAAGCCAGAGTGTATACTGTAATATAATATAATATAATGAATGAATAATATAATAAAATATAATATAATAGTATATGGTGGTTTCCAGTACCATTGTCATCTCTTAGTGATACTTGCACTGCAAAGGCCTAAATCATAACCTCTCGACAAATTTTCTGAATGCTTTTCTGAAAAGTGTTAAACCAATAATTTATAGTCACATTACACACAAACAGTGTTTTAGAAATTAATGGGGAGTTGCAGACAAAAACACATTTATGTAACCAAGACAAAGAGTGTACCACTGTGAGGCTGTGCTAAGGTAAAGCAGTGCACCTAGTGACAATCCTAACATGTTGATCTTGATGCAGCTTTACCATCTTAGTTTAGTCCATTAGCATGCTACGTTTCGCTAACTAGCAGAAGTATAATTTACCTGATGTAGGTGTTTCATGAAAAGTGAATGGATCCCAAGGTTATATCTGTACCAAATTCCAAGGCAAATCCATCCAGTAATCATCAAAACATATCTCTCAAAACCACAGTTCAAGTCTGGGGATCATTAAATTCAGTAGGTTTCATGTTCAGGGAATCATGATAGTTTGTACATTATTTCATAATGATCCACAAAGTAGTTAGAGAACAGATCATTTCATTCTTTACAAAAATTGGACAGACCAATTTTTAACTCAGTTCAATTTTATTTGTATGGCGCCAATTCACAACAACCATCTCAGGGCACTTTCAGTAGTAAGGTCAAGAGCAGGCCTTACAGTATTGTAGCAAAAACCCCAAAAATCCCCCTTGAGCAAGCACTTGGTGACAATAGTGTGCAACATTTTCCATAAAATAATTAATCTTTTTTGTTTTACCTTCATGTGCTCTGAATTCATTTTACAGAGAAAGTGATCTTCAAGTCCAACGATGTTTCGGTGTTCTCCACTCTCAGCATAAACGGCCGGCTGTTTGTCTGCCAGAGGGACCAGTTAGATTCTCTGGTGTGTTCATGCCTTTCAGAAAACACAGGCCGCACAAATCTTTCTCATTGAAGTAGACTTGATGAAGACCCACACCTAGCTGTATATCATTGAAATTTGTTGCTCTTAACAAATTTTATCAGGTTATATAAATCTGTGAAATTCCCCATGCTTTCAGCAACCTGCTAGTGTTTAAACAACACAATAAATATACAGAAGGTATCATAATCATATGATTGAACAGCTTCTTGTTCAGCAACCTGCTAGCGTTTAAACAACACGATAAATGTACAGAAGGTACCATAATCATATGATTGAACAGCTTCTTGCTGTATTTTTGGAAAGTTAAACTGTAATGTTTATTTGTATAAGCTGCCTGTATGTCTTTTTGGTAACCACAGTTTAACATTTGCTATATTTTGGCCTGTGAACTATGTTTCTGTTGATTTTAGTATCAGTTTTGTCACTGAATTCAACAAGCATTTGAGAAAAAGTAGATGCATGATTATCAATTATAAAAGTGTTTTCTGGTGTTTTCTAGACCCCTTTACCTGAACAGGAGGGTCCCTCGACGGTGTCCCTGGCCAGCTTTGAGGTGATGAGCTCTAAGGATGTCGCTTACCATATGACCTCTTATGACTGGGAGCTTTTCCACTGCGTACATGAGGTATGGTAGATTGACCAGGTGCCATTAGCAGCATCCTGTAAGGCCGGCCCTTTTAATTATGGACTTGTTTTATTAGTATGTCATACATAAAGCTGAATTTTAATTGAGTTCATCTGCTTTTTTATTTACAAGAAGGTCAGTCATGTTTTTCTGTGGTGTCCAATAGCTTGAACTCATCTATCATACATTTGGGAGGCAAAACCTGAGGAAAACCACTGTGAACTTGGACCTGTTTCTGAGGAGGTTTAATGAAATTCAGTTTTGGGTGATCACAGAGATGTGTCTGTGCTCTCAGCTCAGCAAGAGGGTGCAGCTTCTCAAGAAGTTCATCAAGATCGCTGCCCAGTGAGTGGACCTCGTCAGATCTGTTCTCTGTTTTCTTTGGTTTGCAGCTGTGTTTATTTGTTAATCTTTCTCACCTTTTCATGTTTTCTGTCAAAGCTGTAAGGCGTACCAGAATCTGAATACCTTCTTCGCTATCATTATGGGACTGAGTAACCCAGCGATAAGCAGGCTGAGTCAGACCTGGGAGGTGGGTATATGTCTGTAGTCAGTGTCTGTTCAGGATTATTAACATCTTAGCTGCAAGTTAACCTCTCCTGTCATTCATGTTCACAGAAACTTCCCAGCAAATTCAAGAAGTTTTACAGTGAATTTGAAAACTTGATGGTAAGTGGAAACAACTTATTTTGTACAGTCATGCTTTTTCACTTCAAGTGTCTCCATCTTTGAGTAGTTTTGCTTTCTATCAGAACAAATACTGAGCACAGCATTGGGATTATTGCATTGTCAGCTGGTCACTAGAGTGAAATGTGGGTTTAGTAGCATCACCCTCAGCCAGTACTGTGATGAATCCCTTTAACACAGTGATGGTAGATCACAAAACAGGGTGACTGTTTCCACAGGACCCGTCCAGGAACCACCGCGCATACCGACTGACAGTTGCCAAACTGGAACCTCCCATCATTCCCTTCATGCCGTTGCTGATCAAAGGTTAGAGTGATTTATCTATTTTTAACAATTTGACAATTTATTTTTAACGCAGCATGATTTTGACCAGTATGTGACAATTGTTTTGCTGTTGAATTTCTTCTTCAACAGCTTTAACCATCTAAACAACCAATGTCCCCTTTGCTCCGACTTCCCATAATCACGTACTGTTTCATTGCTTTTGTTTTTCTTTTCTTTTTTCCAGACATGACGTTCACTCATGAGGGAAACAAGACATTTATCGACAATTTGCTCAATTTTGAGAAAATGGTGAGGCTCTAAAGCTGCAGATTATTGTCTCACAGCTGGTGCAAATAGTTTTTAATCATTCAGGTAATGGCTGGTGTCTGTTTTGGTGTTGGTCTTTTAGCGGATGATCGCTAACACAATGAAGATGGTGAGATACTGCAGGAGCCAACCGTTCAGTAAGTCCCAAAATGATCATCTTTCACTGATCAAAGCCCAGATTAAATATCAATAATAGGAGCTTTGATAGGAAATAATCAATTTTATACAGACTTCAGGGTTCTCTGTTGATTTTTAGAGCATAACATTTAACATTTTCTCATAACTTGTGACCTTTTTCTCAAACACTGCTCATCTTTTCCATTTAATCAGGCCCAGATTCACCACTGGCCGGCAAGAACCACCCAGAAGTTCAGACTTACGTGCGTCACCTTAAAGTGATCGATAACCAAAGGACGCTAACTCAGCTCTCTCATGGACTAGAGCCTCGCAGGTCTTGAAACCACTCAGGAATTTAATGTTACACTGACTGATTTGCTAAGCATTTTGTTACATTATAACAACAGTAATTGTTGGTGGATGAAGTACCTCTCATATCACTATGCTGCAGATATCACCATCGTCTCCAACTCTAACAAGAGGAACAACTGAAGAAATACAAAATCTTTGGAGGATTTCATTGATCAGATTGTTATGTAACATTTTACGTATAAACACTATGTGACGCCGACGCTTTAAAATCACAGTCTTCATATTCCTATATGCACTTGTTTTGTAACTTTTGTATCAAACAATATTTAAAAGTATTTAAGTTTGTGAAATATTTATGTGTTGTAAATTGTGTACAACTATTTATTTTGACATCAGCATGCAAAAGATTTGCTTTTTATTTATGTGATCACATTTTTCTTTGGTGGTCTGAGATTCTTATTTTATTTATTTAACCTTTATTAAACAGTCCAGGTGAGATTTCACACCTCTTTTTCAAGGAAGATGTGGCCAAAATGGCAGAATTTGCAACTGTAAGTGTCTGAAACCTTTTATGTGCTGTAAACATGAAATAGTTTAGCTGTATTTATGTGGCAAACTGTTGCTATTGTTTTGCTCTCGTATTTCATTAATAAGTTGATTCCAACCACATTAAAATAGCAGTTTCTGATTAATCATAAATAAAAGTGGTTCTATCTTGAGAACTGTTACATTTGCGCATGCAGTTGTTAGTGCAGGACGCATCCTCCTCAGGACTAGTTAGCTTTAGTCAAAGAATCCATGGCATGCTCATTTTCAGTCATTTAATGTTTAATCTTGGGTACCTCTAGATTAGCTTTCCACCCATCATAATGCCAAATAGTCTGTAATTATTTCAGAATGATAAAACCTGATATCACATAGAGAGCCTCCTCCTAAAAATGAGAGGATATTTCATGAATGCGCACAACTCCTGTTGCCAGTCAGGAAGCCAGGACAACACATAAACAAAAAAAACTAATAAGCTATGTTTTCGACAGTGACAATACCTCAAATCCCACCTGACATGTTCAAGCCAGAATATGAAAGTGGACAGCACGACAAAATACAACAGCATTAATTAATTTGAATTTCTCCTCCATAGATAGGTCAACAATGGTATATGCACCAATGAAGAGACATGTGTAACACTCTAAACAAAGTGGGTAAGTGAGAAACCCCATATTTTAACTGGTATAATACAGATATAGTAACTTCTCTCTACAGAAGCAACACATTAACGAACATGCCATATGTGTTTGTTTTTTTGATTATTGAAAACTTCATTCCCTTTCAAGTAGCTCTGAGGTCGATCACTACAACCGATGATTGTTGCATCCCCAACCCTAAACACATGCAGTCAATGTAACTTGCAAAAACAAATGTAAAATGCTTAATTCATACAAGTTATTTAAATTCATATAGAAAGTAAAAGTTGTATTATAATATTAAAAAGTTATCCTGCAGTTTCATTTTTATGCTACAATGGGGAATTAGTTCAAAGTTGCAAAAAAAAAAAAAAAAAAATAGGAGATTCTATTCGGGACCTCAAATGGTCCTCCGACCACAGGTTGAATACCACCGTCCCCAGACATATAGAGAAAAACATAAAGAGGAATGTTGCACCTCTTTTGTCCTGCGGGGGGAGCCATTGTCATCGTGACTGGCCCAGTCAGCACCAAAGTTGTGTAACCAGTGAAACCACCGCAGGGAGAGTGGAGAAACGTCACAGGGTTTTCCGGAACTGGCTTCTCCGGGTTTAGTTTATCTTCTGCCCGTTGTGACCTGCGCCAATGACGAGCTGCTCTGAAGTCTGAAGCGTCGCCCCTTAATGTCGGTATGTATGTATGTCTATAATGCCCGAAAGTGGATGTAAAAGTTAGATAGAGGGTTTAAAAGTTGGTGGTTTACAGGCATCCATGTGAATATGAACAGTGACAGCATGGCAGGCTGCATATCCTATATTACATACAACTGTGTTTATTACGTTGGAATAACTGATTCATACGGTATACATCAGTGTGTATTAATGGTTTATGTCTGTAGTGCAAGTCCTGTCATATGCCTTTTCCTGTTTATTATGTGCTTTCATGTTTATAAACCCAAGCAAAATTCCTTACGCTACACAGAAGGATCATCTGTATTTATCATGCACTGTAAAGTCACTGATAAGTATTTAAGATTGTGATATCAATATTCTGATGTCTGTCAATAAATAGCCTGTATAAAATCAAAAATTGCTGCAGGGCTCGTGGTCTTAATTCTAGGACTTTCAAAAGATGGTGTCAGGCATCTATGGCCTTAAACAGTGTCGTACACATGTGGGTACTTTTTCATATGTAGGACATGTGATTAAATAACCATGCAATAAACCAGTCATCTTACAATCTGCTACTATATTTGGGTGAATCACTTTTCATTTACACTGGTTTTGTTTACAGTAACTATCTGCAGTTTGGCATATGGTTATCAGGCATTTATTGTTGCAGTGCTTTAAGCAGTGTTTGCTATTAAGGGAGAAACTGGCAGGAATGAGCGTAGGAGTGCTACCATACCCCAATAACCCTGGCTCCTTGAGTAGACGGACAATACTGGGGTGGGGGTGGAGGGGCTGAGCAAATTGCCATGAGGCTAAGTATAGCATGGATACAAGTAAATCAGCAGAAAGCAATGGCTCCCCTCTGTGACAATGGAGGCATTTCCCGCTGGGATGGATAGCAATCCCAATGAAGACCCAGGTAACAGCCGTTTAAAAGCCGTAATTGCTCAGCTGTAAATGGGAAACCTATGAACAATAACAGAGCTACAATTTCCTGTAATGATGGAATTATTTCTTTACAAGATGCTTTTATGTTGTTACGGACAAACAAAAGGAAGTGATAATCAATCTGTGTGGACTCCAGTTTGGAAGCATTATGCTCCTCCTAACTCTGGCTTTCATAAATACTACATGTGTGTCCTGTACATGGGCAGCAAGAGCTCATTTTTTAGTTTAAAAGATAAAGAGAATATGAGTGGCTCTCCATGTTTCGGTCTTGAAACAGTCAGAGACAGTCTATCATCTCGATTCTTTTGTTCTCCCTGCTTGTGACCTTGGTTTCACTGAACACCCAGGCCCATGCTGGAAGAGTCTGGGAACTTGGCTGCATGATCACAGCATACCAGCCATGCCGTCCTCCTTATACAAGCAGTCTGGACCCTGAGCTGCTTGCTTAATGGTACTGATGATGAGCAGTGTGTGTAGAGAGGAGAAAATGCAGAATGGTTAGTAATTGAACAGGGATATCACAGTGACATTATATGCACTGTCAGCCTATGGCACGGTGGCTCCATTTGGGCCAAGTTGGAGTCCTAACATGCAGTCATGCTCTCACTTGGTGTGTTTCATAGTGACGCCATCCTCTGAAGTGTATTGCACTGCAGGAACAAGTTTGATTTGCCATAGAAAACCTTGTTTAGTGAACCACACTTCCCTCCCTCCCTGTGATTCCTCCCCCCAGAAGCTGCGCTGGTGCTGAGTTTCATTATGCGATGTTGCCCCCCAGCGCCTCCTTCGTGCACATCAAGTTCGATGACATCGTTTTCTACGAGAACTGTGGCGGCGGCAGTTTCGGAAGTGTGTACAGAGCCAGGTGGATCTCCAAGGACAAAGAGGTGGCAGTGAAAAAACTGCTCAAGATTGAAAATGAGGTAGGAGTCCTAATTGCCTGTGCCTTTCATATACTTTTTAATTGTCAGTATAGTAATCATTTTAATTGCTAGCCCATTTAGCGGGATGTGGTGACTTCTTTACCCATCACTCATAGTTGTTATACTCCCCCACTCTTAGAAATGTGCTGCAAAAGAAACATTATTGCCAAATGAAAGTGTGTATTTGGCCCAATTACAGCGGAGACTGTTCTTGAAATCCCTTTGAATACTCAGGTTCATTGTTGTAAAGACAAAAACGAATTATCTTTGAAATCTTTTCAGGAATTACCTTTATTGGCTCATGATAGGATATTCAGAAAATTATTCGCTGTTTCTTTTATGAACTTGTAGAAGATCACAGATATTCTTTCAGCTTCACTCATGTGGTGGAGAGATGACTGTTCAGGGAAAATAAGAATGTAATTTTTTTCACATTCAACCAATTGTTCCTTTAATTATAGTGTTTGACTACAATTAAATGAATTGGTTTTGTCAGCTTTCTGTTCCTTCTACGAGTGGTGACACATAAGGCTTTATATTTATACCAATATGTCTTGAAATATACTCTCCTGTATTTTTAGTTCTCCTGTGTTCTCAGCCAGCTGGGTCAACACTTTGGTCCAGACTAAAATATCCTAACTATTTCCTGGATCGTCATGAAATTCTTTTACAAACATTTCCGGTCCCCTGAGTTTGGTAATTCCCTGACCTTTTTTTTCTTTATCTGGCACCATCGTGATGTTAACACTTGTGTTTTTCATTGAAATGTTTCTCAGCTACTGGATGGATCTCCATGAAATTTGGTACAGTCACTTAACTTTTCATCTGGCACTATAATCAGGTCAAATTCTTTACTTTCCCATTTTGGTTTATGGTTAAATACCAACAAAATCCATAACATTTCCACCATGAGCATGCTGACGTTCATATTTAGCTCAAAACTCCACAGCCTCACGCTACTGCTAGCCCAAAGGCTCCTGTACTTGTTTCTTTAGACACCGATGTAATGATTTGTTGACATTTGCAAAGCAGCCTCTATTAAGACTGATCCAGCTATGTTTTTCTTCTTGTGTGTTCACTGCTCAGGCTGTAATCCTCAGTGTCCTCAGCCACCGCAACATCATTCAGTTTTATGGCGCAATTGTTGAGGCTCCCAACTATGGAATTGTCACTGGTATGTTTTTTTTTTTTAATTATAAAGCCTTCATACTGACACTCCCATAAGTACAGTACAGTATTTCTCACTAACAGCCGCTGAGTCTGTTTGCAGAGGAACCTGTTGCTTGACACCGAATGCTGCAGAGGTTTCTATGGAAGCATTAGTGAATGCTAGACGTTTCAGGAAGTGCACACATCAATACAATAGTTCTATGCTCCTGTGTTTTGTTCTTTTAGTTTATCTTAGAGGCTGAGAAGAATAATACAAGCTTTTTAGCTCATGCAGCCATGGACTATAGAAAACAAGAGGCCCTTGATGCCTCTGCACAAACTACCATCTAGTATTACTGTAGAGTCCCCCTCAGCTGAGCATTTTGTTGGGCTACTTTCACTTACTGTTGGATTGTGCCATTATTTAAAGGTCTGAGACATTCAGGGATTATCGGAGCTTTGAGAAAATATAAACTATCCATTCTGCTAAGCATCACTTTCCTTCCAGGAAAGCAGTTGAACACACTGTCAGTGAAAACCATAACAGCCCCCACTCATATGCTGATCACCTCCCTTCATTATGTGGACAGTGCACAGCATCGCACAGCGCAACTTAAACACATATCAGATCTTCTTTGCTCCCTTGGTCAATGAGACTGATAAATATAAGCTCACATGACGGGCACACATACAGGAGTTGTTGTGTGTCTGAATAGACCAACGTAACAGAATGACAAAATAGTACAATGTAAATGTTTATAAAGAACATAGTATAAAAATATGAATAACATAACCTAGGGGGTACAGAGAACTTCCAGGGGCCTCCAACAGACCCGAGCCAGAGGGGACAGACTACACAAACATTAGAGAGACATTAAGGATAAAGGGGAATGAACAAATAAACAGGAAATATAAAAGGGAAGTAGAGAAGGACAACCAACAGGAGGATTAAGATCCAGATCCACACATCTGAATGAAATACTGATAGAAAGAAGAGAGAGAGATGGCCTAAGATGGCTGATGGTCTGGCACAGAGAATCTGAGTGAAAGAGAAGATAAGGACAAGAAGAGAGAGGGAAAGGCACACAGCCTAGATGCTCATGTGCTTGAGGGATTAAAAAAAACAGAGAAATGCAGTGATTTTCAAAAGGTTTGCAGCAGCAACTCTGCTGGTAGGACAACACAGAAATCATTAAGAGTTAAGCAAATGCATTCAAAGTTTTAATCACTATATTTGTAGTTTCAGTGCATGACTTACAGGACTGCACTGGACTAAAGGAGAAGACCTCATGGCACATGGGCCCTTATCAGCCACTGTAGTATTTTGCAGTTGTGAAAGAGGACCTGGTTGGTGTCTCTATTTAAAAATAAGCAGACTCTAATTAACACCGAATACATGAAAATGGTTTATGGCCACGCTGCCCGTGCCGTGTCCACATCCATCAGCTCTGTTATAAATTTGCTCTGTTGACATACACTATCAGACCGAAACGTTATCTCTTTCTCTCTACAACCTGTGTGACAGGCCTGTTTGTCCCTGTTCACCTGCATGAGTTTAACAACTCACATAAACCTTATGAATTAAGATTTGTTTTTTGGGGTATTCAGATTAATAGCAGGCTCATTCCCCTAAGATAATTAAAACTCTTCTGTGAGTTTAAACTGATTCAATCTGAGGAGGTGGAGGAGACTAAAATGAGCCACCGGTGGTCATATTACCTATGGAATATGGATGAACATATTAAAGTACAAAGTACACAAGCAGGTACAGATGAACTTCGGTGAACTTTATTGTTGTTGTACGTTACTGTGTTTAAAACACCCAGTGTACATCTGCTGTCAGCTGGCTTTTGCAACAGCAAAAGTCAAATTTAGACTCATAAGACTGAAAATTGGTTGGTGTATTTTATGATCATTTATTAGACTCCTGTCTTGGTGCCTGGGCATGTTTACAATACTGTGTTGGGATATTATTGGTTTATTAAACACAAACAGAGGTTTCCTGCTGTTTTAACTAGTATTAGATAGTGCTTGTTTATCTTTATTCAAGCACTTTATGTCACAGGTCTATGTCTATAGATAGCAAAAATGCTGAAATGCCTTTTACTTTTAGGTCTTCACTGAAGCATCATCTCTGTGACAGTCTTGTAAAAAGGGTGTTGCAAAAAGGCTATATGGTTATCTTGCATGTGGCTCATTAGAAGCGTATAAAACCTTTGAAAACAGAGCAGAAAGATTATTTTTTTGCTTTACTGACAATGCATCCTGTCCTTGGGAAACAAGTGACATCAGTGTGTTCAGTCACACTGTGATAAATTGAGCTCATCCACAGTGACAGGTCAGTGACAGGAGCAATCTGTAAACAAGACTCTGTTAGCTGGCTTCCAGGAGTTGTCTAGTAAAAGTTCAGCTATATATTGTTTTCACATGATGTTCTCGCATACTGTACTCTCATAATGTAATGCCTCAATAAAACTGTCTTGTCACTGTAATACCTTTTACCACCACAAATTGTACATTTTCTTTACTTTTTTCACCAGCTGTCTTTAAAAAAAAAAAGAAAAAAACATTTCTATAAACTCAACCTAATCACATTTCTCCACAGAGTATGCAAGCGGTGGATCGTTGTATGATTACCTGTCCAGTGTTGAGAGTGAGAAGATGGACATTGGACAGATCATGACATGGGCTATAGAGATTGGCAGAGGTAAGTTGAATGATTATATTAGTGAAGCAGAAGTCACGCATCTTCGTATTACTTTGGTCAAGTGGAAAGATAAACTGCATCTGTGTGAGTTTCTATTGGTCTCGCTCAGAAAATCTCCTCTGATTTCCTCTTTAGGAATGCACTATTTACATTCAGAGGCCCCCATTAAGGTGATCCACAGAGACCTAAAGTCCAGGAATGGTAACTGATATCATCTTTAGCATTACTTTACCATGTGCAAAGTGAATACCTGCTTTTACTGACTTTTAAAACTCTATTTTCTTTTTCAGTTGTTTTAGGTGCAGACAAAGTTCTCAAGGTAGGTTTTTAATATGACTGGGTTTGATTGTACTTAATGGTGCATGTTGAACATTTCTAATGAAGTGAAATTGTCCAGGTAGCTGAAAATGTAATCCTATATCTGTATCTATTTGAAGGGAATATGGGCATGAAACACTAGCATTTTATTTACCTACATTATATGGACACAAGAGGGCAGTGACTAACTTGTACTAGCATGTGCAAGAAACCACTAACAGCATTACTCTTGTGCCATACTGCTAAAAGAAAGTTTTATCAAAAGCTCATGACAAAATGAGACTGCACAAGATTTGATATATTACTACGTTATGGAAAATAGTTCAGTAAGTCCAGACATATTTTGGAGCCTCTTCAGAGACATTCTGCATTTAGCTCATGTTTCAAAGAGCCAAATCTATGATCCAAGACCGTAGTGTGCTAAATTGCATTTTTCTGTGAAACTACAGTGACAAAAACTGAGTCCAGGCCTACATTATGTGTGTGCAGTACAGTAGAAACACATACTTGTAGCATATACTCAAACTAGCATTATCACCAGATGCAGCCATTGCCCTTTTTCACTGGTGAAACTATGGGGCTATGGATACTAAAAGATTTTGCTGCAAAGTTAGTCTCAATTCTGTTCTTACTTCTTCAGATTTGTGATTTTGGGGCATCGAAGTTTGTGATGCACACAACACACATGTCTTTGGTTGGCACGTTTCCCTGGATGGCTCCGGAGGTGATCCAAAGCCTGCCTGTGTCTGAGACTTGTGACACTTTCTCCTATGGTGTGGTGAGTGTCCAGAAGGAAATGGTGGTAAAGCTGCACACTCATAACTCTAATTCAGTGTTTTGGCACATATTGCTTTCATACAGGATTCATCGTTGATGGTATGGGTGTCTAGGACAGAGGCCTTTGCTCTTAGTAGGACCTCCACCTTGTTAATATATCCCAACATATCCTTTTGTAATTGTTTTATAATATATATGAATAATATTATATCAGCTTTTATCATGGAAAAGTATACGGCTTCCTTGCTGCTTGTTTGCATATATCAAAGCATACACAATGCTGAGAACAATAAATGACATGTAGTCTTTCAGAGGGACTAATCATGGCAAAGTGCACATGAAGTAGTGATTGATGTGACCTTTATGAGAGAGCTACTCTTAGACTCAACATATAAAGGATGCCATTGTGGGTAGACATAAATGTAGTCTTTCACAACACCTAGAGTCACTTAGATTGCAAAAAGTTACTTGTAGCTTCTTTAAAGTTTCTAACTGTTACTTTTTACTAAGAATTGTTGACTCGCAAGTCAAAGTTTAAGACCATCAAGGTCATTATAGCAAATGAAAGATCACAAATGTGAGTGATTGGTGAGCACAGTGAAATTCACAGCCTGAGTAGAACAAGTCAGAAGTCAATTATAAAATGATTTTTTTGTATTTAAACAAAAGCTAAGTTCCACAACAATGCTTTCTATTTTGGTCTTAAAATCCAGCCTGTGTAAAGTTGAATCAAGTATGTTAAAATCATTTTAAGAAAGTGCACTAAAGTCACTCATGGCTGCCAGTCAACCAGTCCCACTGATGTTTTTCATTTCTGTATTTCTTTCTCTGCTTAAGTGGACAATTGTAGCGATTTTGACCTTTGCAGAAGTACAGCTTCTTACAAACTCTCTGTGTCATTTCTTATTCTTAAAACTTTGGTGAAGTTGCTGCTAAAGATGTTTCTAAGTAGTTTAAACTGGAAAGCATTTATGAAATTCTTTAGATTATGTTTCCTCAGATCTATGCAGAGATTTACAATGTTTATGATTGCAATGAGTGCTTTTTATGCCAGAGGTACTGCGAAATGATTGCAAATTCAAGTATGCAGCTTTTCCCCCCAAAACATGTTTATGAGGAGCTGATTTCTATAGTAACATGCATACATGTAATGAGAGGCAGCTGGCAAGAGCAGAAATGCAAAAATATGGTACACATATACATTAAACTCCTTGGGTGTTTGAAAAATGGCTTTTCTTCATCTTTTTTATGTCAGCAGTCTTTTATTTCAACCAAGAAGAACATAAATTATGAAGGACTACTGTAAATGTACTTCAGAAATCATGGCAGCCTTTAACTGGTGTTAGAACTCAGAAACTAATGTTTTTGTCTATTTTATATATTCATAAAATATATTAATCCACACGCTGTGCTAACAGATTAAACATATTTACCTGCTCAACAGTATTTATGTAGTTCTGCATATTTTTTTTGTGAATTCTACCATGTGGTGGAGCAAAACAGCAGATTCTTGGTTGCTAGAGCATTTATGCATACATGCCCTACATACTGTACATGTATGTGTACTATTTTACAAAATTATAACGTTGTGTTTAACTGTATAAAGTATAGTATATGATAACTTTGTACTTTTATAACTGTCCTTGCTCTTGATTTCTGTGACAGGTGCTTTGGGAAATGCTCACCCGTGAGATACCATTCAAAGGCCTGGAAGGCTTACAAGTGGCCTGGCTCGTGGTGGAGAAGAATGAGGTACTCTATGGTGTGATTACATGGAGACATGAAGTATTGACCCTGCCAACTGGAAAATCATTATCTAGATAAATAAATCTTCCTTCCACTAAGTCATCATTACATCATGGAATTTATACATATGTTGTCAGGAACAGCTCATACCTTTACAGTTTTTATAACACTATGGCTTTACTGAGAGCACTGATACCACTTTCACATTCTGCATATTAAATGTGGACCTGGAAATAGGAGACTATTAGCATAGCCTAGCATAAAGACTGGAAACAGTGGCGGTGTGGTAACATACAAACTCAAGTGCAAAGCAATTAGATAGGGGTTCACTGGGGGTGTGATTAGATGTAAAGACACATCAGCATGAGCTGTAAATGTCTCCAGTGGAGACTCAGCCAAACTAGCAGTTTGCCTTATTTCTGGTCTTTATGCTAAGCTAAACTAAAGTAGCTAGCTATTGGCTGTAGTTTCCTATTCAATGGACAGCCTTGAGAGTGATGTTGATCTTCTCATCTAACTTTCTTCGAGGAAGTGAATAAGCATGTTTTCCGAAATTTCAAGCTATTCCTTTACATGAGCAGCCCTTCATTTTAAGAGTGGCCTCACGCAATCCTGTATCTGTTTCAGAGATTAACCATCCCCAGTAGCTGTCCTGTCAGCTTTGCTGACCTCATGAGGAGCTGCTGGGCAACAGACCCAAAAGTAAGTTGACTGCAAAGTTGCATTAGCATGTAACAACATATGTATGTTTTCTTATTAATCACATACAGCAAATTTTTTGTGTTCATTTAGAAAAGGCCGTTGTTCAAGCAGATCCTCTCTACTCTGGAGTCCATGTCTAATGACAGCCAGCTTCCTCAACAGTGCAACTCATTTCTTCACAACAAGGCTGAATGGAGGTAATGTAATAAGCCATTCTCCAGACCCAGTAAATGTATTTATAACCTTTTTTCACTGATATACTGCCTCAGCCTAAGGAAATGTGCAACTGTTTTCAAAGAATGATGTGGAAATGTAGCTGATGGGGGCCATGAAACACAAAAAAGGACGAGATCATGCATATAGATCTTTAATAATTACACTGACAGCTACATAAAGGCATGAAAACCTCCAAAGAATCATCCATCTGGATATACTTCCTCTCTTTACCCATAAGGCCCTAAAAATAATCACCATCTTTTTCAAGTAGAAGTGTTTAATTGGCCTGTATGAGCAGCTGGAGGTTTGGTGATGTTCAGCACAGCCTGAGTCTCAGCTGTTACTTTATTCTCTGTCTGCCTCTCTGCTGGGCTTGTCTGTGCTCTGAGGATTTTCCTCAGAAGTTTTGCTGGTGGGATTATGTCCAGGCAACCATCTGCAGGTGAAACAGGTTGGAGTGAATCTCAGTGCTGCAAAACAGAAACTCACTGTGAAAGAGCATGACAGGGGTGGAACAACATATTTTTGCCCAACAGGTTTGACACTATAATTTTAGCTGGATGAAAGTGAAAGGACATACTTGTAGCTGATCCGAAAGTGTAAAGAGCTCTGTTGTGCTTGTGCTTATTTTGTTTAGGTATATGATGTGCATTACCCAGAAATAGATGCAGTGTAGTGTACAGCATATAGTTCAGGGCATAGCTAATGGGTACACAACATGGTGCTCATTGTTTTTGGCTATGTACGTCAGCTCAGTGGGCTTTAAATGAAAGGATGACTATTAGGTTGAAGTGCTGGCTTCATGTTTCGTGTTTAAAGGATGATCAGATTCATACTGGGTACACAGTGTAGGAATCTCAACTCTTATTACCCTTTGGGCGGTGGGTACAGAATAAACAGAGGTATAAAACCTTTAGAAAGCTAACGTGATGCAGATGTAAAAATCATCTAGTTAAAGCTAACAGTCCCCATTTTAACCTCATAGTTACTATTTCATGCCTGTATTCCAATTCTTAACATACTACACTTTACATTTTACAGTATAGAGGTCAAATAGAGTTTCTGCATATTTCAGTGGTTATGTCTTAACAGCATTGTCAAAATATCTTAATTTATCTGAAATTATTGGGGTACTATAGGAATTTGAGATAAATAGAGACACATTTAGTTCAAAATCAAATGTGTAAAATTGAATGAAGTTCAGTTCAATTCAGTTTTTATTATATAGCACCAAATCACAGCCAAAACATCTCAAGACACTTTACATAGTAAGGTCAAAACCTTACAGTGTTATAGAGAAAAGCCAAATACAGTACATCCCCCTGAGCAGAAACTAAACAGAAGTCTCCTGTTTCACAGTATGTTTGGACACAACCCAGGCGATTAAGAAAAAAAGTTGCCATTTCCTTCCTTATATTGCAACCGTCTGGATATTTTTAGGAAATAATTAGATGGTTCATTTTGAGCATAGATGCATTGGAGAGTGTAGATGTGATGTACAGGGCAATGTGAAATACTGAGAAGGTTTATCAGAACAGTGGGAAGCAAGAGAACAAATTATCTGGGAAGTCAAAAAAGAGTGAGTGGTAAAGGTGGAGGAACTGGAGCACTGGGAGGAGTAAGGGTTTGCCTTCCTGCCTGAGCTACATGTGTTTATGAAAAGGGCGTGAGAGACCTACGTTTTGTTGGGCTGAAGCTCTGTATGGATTTCCAAGAAACACTGTGTGGCCTTGCTAGGCAAAACAAACTTCCCCAGTGAAGCGAACATTAGACATTGGCGTGTCCTTGACATTCAAAGCATCAGTCATAGAACAACTAAATCATCTTCTGACTCCAGGGTATCACTGGGTTGTTTATAGAAGCATTTTAGTTTGTTATTTTTTATTATGTCACCACCATTGACTGTGTATAAAGATCGACGATGTGACAGTCCCCAAAAATAAAGCCACCACAAGTCGACTGGTTGGTTGTAGTTTAGGTCATAAACCTCGCCCCCTCCATGTTAACATTTTAAAGTACAAATCAAATACATTTTCCCCAAAGGTGATTTCTTTCATTTTAGATAAATATTATCATGCTGATTTGAGTACAAGGGGGATTTTTCTCCACCTCTGGCTTCTGCTGCACAGAACCTGGTTGCAAAATGTCTCACAAAAGCAAGATGGCCGTCGCAGTAATAGCAATATTGTGGCTTCACATTTGCATACTGCCAGGAAGTGGTGACGTGTTGTCCATCTTTATATACAGTCTATGGTCATTGCTTACTGTCCTTACAGAATACTCTGTCATTAAAAACTGTTTTGGGACACAATTTAGGTTTATATATATGATCTATTAAGATTTGCTTTTTTAGCATGTTGTAAGGGAAGTTATAAAGCATTGAGAGACAGACTAACATGTTATTTCTGGTCTTTTCTACTGCATACTGTAGGTGTGAAATTGAAGCTACACTTGAGAGACTTAAGAAGCTAGAGAGAGACCTCAGCACTAAAGAACAGGAGCTGAAGGAGCGGGAGCGGCGTCTAAAGATGTGGGAGCGCAAACTCATTGAACAGTCCAACAGCCCAGTGAGTTTACCATTGTCTTTTTTTCCAGTGTGGTTCACCTTGTTTGTCAAGACAGCAGCCATGCACTGTCAAGTGGTCATGGCACATACAATAAAAAACATGGAATGGAAAGAAAGGAGTCATTATGAGCACATTGTAGGTAGTAGGTTGATGTGCCACATCACATATAACATTGTAGATTAAAATATAACTGATTATAATAAAATGTTAGACAGTAAAAAATGCATACTATAATTTCCCACAGACCAGAAGTCCAAAACCCAAAGTTCTTCAGTTTACTACACACAAATGACAAAGTAAAGCGTTGCATCGGCACATTGGAGAAGCAAGAACCAGCAGATATTTGGTATTTTTGCTTGAAAAATGCCAGACATGATTAATTGATTATCTAGATTCATTCTCTATCAATCTGCTTATTATTATCTGCTTATTGCTCCAGTTCAGTTTTTTCTTATGTTTGCTTGAACAACACACAGTTGTTTATTTCAAACTGCAAAGCACAGCAGTAAACAGTGTTGATATCTTGGAAGATGTCACTCAACAACACGGTTTCTATAATTTGAGTGTGAAATATCCAGCAAATCCTTTAAATTAAGTATATTGAAATCATTTCTTGTGTTTCCTTTCTTTTCCTATCGTACCCTTACTCCACTCTTCTGTTAGCTTCCTTTAACCATCTTGTTTTCTAAATTAAAATTTTCACCTTTTCTTACTTACACTTTATTTTGTGGATTTAAACTGATTAGTTACCTCCTTTTCTTTTCTATCCTCTCTTTTTTCTTTTACCCTCTGTGTTCCCGCTCTTTACCCACCTCTACCTCTCTGCTAATCTTACCTGTGGCAAAATTGATACGCGCTAAGTCGTTCCTACAGTCTGAGATGGAGGAATCAGACAGTTCACAGATGCCGTGTCAGATCACAACCTCCAGTAACGTGGAGGTGAATTTGCAGTCTGCGATGAAAGGCTTTGAGGACATGTTTTCTCTGGACCTTGGCCAGCGTCTTTCACTCTGGCATGCAGACCAAACAGAACTCGTCCAAGTCAAGCTGTGTCAGAGAAGGACACAAAATCATCATGGCTGTGGGGATGGGACACTTTGCATGGTCTGATGACAGTAAATAAACCTCTCAGATGTTTGTGATCTCACATAATGTATTAGTGGAAGCCCTATTTCATAATGAATTATTTGTTAAGTCTACTCTTACATCATGGCATACTATTTGTAGTCATGATGCTCAGTACACTCACCAATAACTCTGTGCAGCACAGAAACATACTACAGCATATATCCTCCCCTATGGATATTATGAAGGTCATTTACTGTATGCCTAATGTACTGGATGTATAGTGCCTGCTGTGAAGAAAGAGCGATATAAGCCAGTTGCTTAGAGAAGACCATGCTTTTATGATGAAGTGACATTTTGCTGACATTAAGATTGGCCAATTTGTTCTGGATGTGGTGGAGTGCAGTTGTTGAGATGCAGTCTCTTACCAGGATAAGAAAGGTACATGTTTTTCCTCTGACCGACCCAGGTTCAAAACAGCAGGAGAGGGACTATGCTGTGCCACTGTCAGCCTCATTCACTCATTTTACATTTTACTTTTCAAAAGACTTCAGACTTCACCCTAAACATTAAATAATACAAACATAAAAAAAATCAAAAAATAAAGAAATAATTTAAAGAAATATAAGTGTTTCTTTAGTGGTGTCACTTTTTTTAACCAAAGAAACCATTTCAGTTTTATTAGGTTTTTTTTTTTTAACTATTGGCAACTTGGAGCGTCACATCATATGGTCTAACTGAATATTTAGCCTCAAGATCTGCACTTTACAGCAGAGAAAATCATATTAGCATTAGTGTTCACTTAGGTATTATGCTTCATCCTGGGGAAAGATATGCTTCCTTGAGCATTGGCCATTAAATTGTCCCTTTTGCTTGTTATCACTCAGTCGCACGAGGATGTAATCCTCTGCATTCCCGTGTTCTTGTTTGTTTGCTTCTTGCCGTGAGCTAATATTCCTATTCAGACATTGCCTGTACTCTTGTGCCATCAGGCCCAAGACGTGCTGAACTAAACCTAATTAACACGGTGTCTCACCAATATCTACGTATCTGTGTATGAAATCTAGCCGCTTGGGGCATCCTGAAATGTTCAGCCTTCATACTTGTTTTCATTTCCTTGAGCTTTCACTAAAATCACATGACTTGCAGATTTTTGAAGTAATTTATTTTCCTGGATCCTTCACTGTCTTGTCAATAAATGCTTCGACTAACCTGTCTGTCTTAGATTGATCGTATTGCTTTCTGTATGTGAACAAATTGCAATAGAGGACAAATGTTTAATGGAAATTATGTTGTACTGCTGCTAATATGATATGAATAAGACAGAACAGAGTGTGACTGAAACAGTTTTAATAAGGCTGTAAAACATACCGATTCATTAAGCACTTTTGTTCATACTAACTTCATGCTTCTTTGTGACTCTTGGTATTTATGGCCTGGTTATCCATCATCCATTAGTCCACATGGGGGCAGACTTCTGTGAACTAAACCCAGCTCAAAGTCTTTCTTCCTGCAGATTTTAGTTACCTTTTGTCAATAAAATGTCATAGATATTAACAAAAGAAGTACGGCAGCGCAGATGCATGTGAAATACAACATGCTGCTTCCAAAGCCACGTTACAGTAAGTCAGTGACACTTTGGCAGCGGTGTAGTGTTTCTGAATCTGTTGACTTCCGAGCTGCAGCACTGGAGGAGGCGGAAAAGTGTTGCAGGGCTGAGCGGCTTTATGAGGCAGCAGGCTGCACCAAAATGAGACCAGTATTCAGTTCATAATCTGTGCTGCTATCAGATGTCGTGGGAAGAAGACAGTGAATGGGGATTACTCATTCATTTAGTCATCTTTCCTCCAATTTTCCATTGCATTATTTCAGTCATTATCCACCAGTCTCATGATCACAATGATGAAATCTTTATTTTGGCTGGCACATTTCTGCCTGATTACATTTAATGAGCAATAAATGATTTATCATTCAAATAGATTATGTTAGATCAGTCAGATGGACATTTCGATTTGGTAGAGACCATTAGAGGCAAGTCTTCTTAATCACACAGCACAGTAACCGGAAAAGTAATGGGTCTTGAAGACCTGGAAAACATGGCTATTTACCATTTGAATAACATTTACTTAAGTCTTGTGAGTTTTACTTTAGAACCTGTGTCATAAATCCGTCTCTGTTCTGTTGCCATTATATGTGTTTGTCATTTGTTTCTATGCAGTTGCTGCCCACCCTTGACATCTACACCTGGACGGAGGAGCATGTGGTCAGTATGAGTGCATTTACTGTACCTGATAGCTTATCTATTCATAACAGTGCTATTAAAAACTAAAACTATTTTATTTCTTCAGTATTTCTGGATGCAGCAAATATTTGGCGCAGGTTTGTGCATTTACTTTGTGAAATTTTACCCAACAAGACAATAATTAATCCAAATTTGACACCTTCGGTTGCTTTTTGTTTTGTTTTTGCACTGTTGTTTAAAAATGAGAGATTTCATTTTATTTCTCAGGGGAAGGTTCGTGTGACATGCTGCTGTACGCTGACCTGTTTAAAGAAAATCACATCACGGGAAAGAGGTTGCTATTGCTCACAGAAAACGACATGCGGGACATGGGGATCAAGTCTAAAGGGCATGTCATGCACCTTAAGGCAAGGCACAGTTAACCATTAACACGCCACTGTCAGATTATTTTCACACATAATTTACAAGGTGAGATCTGTGTTCATTGATGTAAATTACAGTGAGTCTTACAGTTTGTTCTTTGCAGGGTGAAATTGAAAAACTAACTAATGACTACCTAGGGTTTCTCCACTTTCCACCACTACTCAAGGTAAGAAGTTTCTTCTTTATCTTCAGGGAGTTGTTTCTGGTTTTCGGTGCCTGTTTGGGCCTGTACCGTTCACCTTTTCTTCTCAGGATGAGCTGGAAAAGGAGGTGGAAAGGAGTAAAACCGTAAATCTGGAGCTGGTGTTTGGATACCACTGGAAAGCAGGAACTGGGAAAACTGTAAGTCTGCAGTGAAACACTCACTGACTGCATCTGTGAAGGGCAGCTAAAAATTAGGGACAGTCAGAAGTAAATGTTGCATCTGCTTTGAACGGGGCTGCTATCGAATGTTAACATTTTTACTACTGTAAGTTTGGTAATAAATGTTACTTTCTAAATACATAGAATCTTGTTTTTGCCATGACTGAATCACCCCTTCTTGTGCTCAAGCTGAGGATTTGTGATGACAGCTATTATGCTGACCACTGAAGCCATCACTAGACATGTACAAAAGCAGACAAATAAACATTTCATTCTCAGCTATGTACCACATCCACTTCGACTTGCTCACAGCCCTTTGTTAGGGTCTCAAACTGTGGAGAAAGGGTGGCTCTTCACTTGCTGTTTGAATTTAATCAAAAATAGCCCATTTAGCCAGAAGTCATTTTCTTTTTAAAAGGCAAACGTTATTTAATCTTTCAGCTGTTCATTGTCCCATCATAAATAGTCCTCTTTCACTGTGTTCGGCAGGGCTGAAACGAGCCTGCTAATTGCCTCCCATTTCTTCTGACATGTGGTGGTTTAGTGGGTAGAAAACACAGCAGGGAGAAGGAAACAGGAGGCTGAGAAAATGAGAGCTAATTATTTTCCCCTGCCTGGTGTCAGGTTCCGTGTCAGCCTTGTTTTTACAAACTGGAAGGTTTTTTGCACTAAATAAAACAAACCTGCACTGCATTTTTTTCTTCGCCCCTCTTTGCTGGCGATGTCATGGAAGCAGCTGCACTTCTCAAAGACAAAATGGGGGCCTGCGATTGTGTGGCCACCATCTGACAGCCACTGAGGGTCCCCTACTAATGAGGATATCACCGTGCAGCCAAGTGAAAGGTGCTGAATTATGTATGAGTTGTCATTAGACGCACTCGGGTCCTAGGCATCATTACCAGACATTGTTTCTGCTGGAGTGATTAGACTAGCATGGACCTGGGAGCCCTGGTGCGACCGTCCAGGGCCAACACCAGGCCAGTGTGGGACCGCTGGTGTGTTTCTGAGCCAGAGGCTCGCTGTAGCTTCCCCTTTGAGCCATTTCCAGCCCCCCGGGGATGATGCAGGAGAGGAGGCGAAGGCTCCTCAGACGAGTATGTTAGTGCCACTCCTCTGATGTCTTTCTATGTGATCGCTACACAATGGATTGGCCTGTGCTGTGAACCCTGCGCAGTTAAGCGGTGACCTGTGGCTTCGTGGACGGCTTTTGGGGATTGCCAAAATCATTACTGCTTCGTCAGCATTCAGAATGCAGGAGAAGAGGGATGGGGAATTGTTCAGATTTTTGCCTCCTAGTGAGGATTTGATGTGGGCCGCATGAATGAAGCGGCTCATGAGAACAGAATAAACATTTGCCCCATCTCTTCTACCAAGAAATTAATCCTGACCCCATGGAGATTAATAAATAAATAAATAAATATCTAAGGTAGTACAAGGAATAAAATGGAATAAAACATCTGTAAAATTTTCTATTGTTGTCATATGTTTTCCCAGCTGTAACAATTTTATAAAATGCTACAGCTCTCACTAAAATGTAGGAGACATTGAAATAGTGAACAATTGATTTCCATTAAAATATGTGCTCTGAATAAAGCGTGGCCCTGCATACAGATTGCATTCAACAAAACTAATCCTTTGTTGACCTTTTATAATTTATCTGATCATATTTCTGTGTTATAATTTCTTTACTGCCCCACAGTATGAGACTCTGTGGCCAGTAACTTGCTACTGCCATTAAACTGCCTCTAGGTTGTGCTGTTGGTTTATGTACAAGAGCAGCCAGAAGAGTACAACACGAACTTAGTTTTAATAGGTGTTGTTTCTGAATGTAGCAGAGAATCTACATTATGTCACCATGAACTCTTTTTGTTCAAGGACTGCAAATGGAAAATGTACATGGAACTCGATGGAGATGACATTGCAGTAACCTACATTAAAGATGTCATCTTTAATACCAACCAACAGGATGCAGAAATCTTGCGGATGACCAAGGTGATGACAGAACATTCCCTCAGCAAGTTGCAAAAGACATTACCACTCATGTTTTGATCTGTGTCTGATGTAACTGGTTGCATTTGACCCATAGGATTGTTGTATTGTGGTTTCAGTAGTCATATTTTGAACTAATGTATTATAATGCAGCCACCATTTGTGATGGACAAATGGATCGTTGGAATACAACCAAACCAGAGAGTGGAATACATAGTTAATTATGAGGTGAGTCAAATAAGCTGCTGTGGGTGGCAGCACACAAAACAGTGCAAAGCTACATATCATCCAGTTAAAATATATATTTAAAAATTTGCCAAAGGTAATGAGAACCCTGTGCAACAAGCATAAACATTCTGACTTTCATATTTTCCTCCCCATTTGACTTGATGCCTCAGAATGACGTCAGGTCACCAAAGTCTTCGAGATACAGCCGTCCAATGACGTGGAGTTTCAGTGGTGGACAAGACGAGATCAAGACTGTGGAGTTGATCATTGAAACAACATCAGCTAACATTGACTGGAACCCCAGGGATGGGTCTAATTCAGGTAATAGTTTTCTTCTGTTGTCTTTGTTGACCTCAAGAGTGTCAAAGCAACAGTTTTTACAGCTGGACAAAATGCTGTAGCTCTTGAATCGACTACAAATTTAAGATGTTGAACACAAAATATGCTCCTGTTTTTATCAGTGCTTATCCTGTGTTTTAGATATTGATCCCGCATGGATGAACAATATAAGGTGGAGTCAAATGTTGGCCCAGAAGTCCCAACAGGAGAATGCCGCTCGGACTGCCTTCACTAGCTCTGAAGCCCGCACCCTGCCTCAATTCCTGTCTGCTCTTGAAAGCCAGGAGTCGTCTTATGCTGCAGCTGTGCGTCGCTCTCCAAACCATTTGCATATATCTCCCTGGACTGACTCTCGCAGCTCCTCGCCAACTACCAGCCTATCGGCCAAACTCTTACCGATCCATTTAGGGTCAAAGGGCAGCAGTCCTACCAGCACTACATCAGAGAGCACATCAGAGAGGGAACGAGAGCGCCCACGCAGTGCTGGAGCGGGGTATGACCACCGCAGAAACAACTACTTTGGCAACTCGTTAACTGTGGGAAGGGGGCAGGGTAGGGGGAGTCCTGGGACCAGCACTAGAGGTAGTTATAATTATAATAAAACCAGCAAAATGTCACGGCAGCCAGGGAAGCCACGGTTCAACGCCATGCCACAGCGCCACCCACCCATGATACCAGGTATATTGTCTGTCACAGAAAATCCCAGTGAGGAAAAAGAGGAGGCCAAATCCAGCGATGGAGAGTGGATCAAAGTGGAGCGACAGAAGAGATTACCACGGCAGGACAATAAACAAGTCAGAGGTCGACAGAGGAGAGGAGGCAAAGGAGGGCGTGGTGCTGGTGGAAGAACTTAATGTGGACAATGAATTGGCAGCTGAATGTGAACGCATGTATATATGTATCTATGCTGAATATGTCATCCACTGAAAACATTTTAGATATTAATGTGATCTACTTTCATGCTCACAAATGAACTGTTTGTTTTAAAAGAATTGCACTGATTCATTCATTTTCTACCGCATAGTGCCTGAACGGGGTCACGGGGGGGGCAATCCCAGCTGGCAATCAGGTGAAGGCAGGGTACACCCTGGACAGGTCGCCAATCCATCGCAGGGCTAACACATAGACGAACAACCACACACACACACTCCTATGGGCAATTTAGAGACACCAATCAACCTAAGCTGCATGTCTTTGGACTGTGGGAGGAAGCCGGAGTACCCAGAGAGAACCCACGCAAGCATGGGGAGAACATGCAAACTCCACACAGAAAGGTCCCAGGTGGGGCCCGAACCCGGAACCTTCTCGCTGTGAGGCAACACAGCAGTCCTTCCAGCACTACAGCTCCAGCTCCTCAGGAATGTAATAATTCTGGTTAATTAATATAAATGGATCCATGCTCAGTAATGGTTTGTCTTACAAAAAGGACAATTTAGTGTCCATTTTTTTATCAGTTGGTATGGTTGCATAAAAATATGATTCTATTTATTCACCCAGTTTCTATCAAGTAACTAAAACCACTGTTATAATGCCCCTCTCCAAGGTTAAATTAAATATTCATACTCCTTCCATGGTTCCTTTGCCTCTTTAATGTTTATTTTTGGCACAGATATTCAACTGACTGCTAATGGTCACATACACTAAAGGTCAAAAGTTAGGACACATGAAAGTGTGCCCAAAGGTTTGACTACAGTGTAAATAAAAAAGTCATATGTTGGTCTGTGTGCCCCACCCTCAACTTGTTATAATGTTGGTACTTCATGCATATCCATTTCCTGCTGTTAACAGCGTCAGTGATAGTGATGAGACTTGTTTTTGTCTCATCTCAGTTTTGTGGCCAGCTTGCAGTGAAATATTCACCTATTATCCTGTTTATTCATCTGTCTTTGAAATTTCCATATCTTCTTGTTTCACCGCTGAATTAACTTTAAGTCTCCTTTTTTGTCTTTACCTTTAACCCTCCTGTTATGTTGCGGGTCAAATTGACCCACGAACATAACTGCTGAGCAGGCATCACCTGAGAAATGAACATAACAGGAGGGTTAAGGGGAAGGTGGCTGCTGGACTTAAGTCTGAGCACAAAGTGTCTGGAAGGGACTCAATATTTTACCCGCCTTGTATCAAATATCCTGATAAAACGTTCGCGCCACTGCAAAGCACATGGAAGATACATCACTTTCAATTGCTTTGTCCGTTTCTTTATGTCCCGTTTGTAAGGTTTGATAATTTCAAAAGATGCTGAATATATTTAGGGATATTAATAACATTCTTCGGATATTGATTTAACCCTCTGTCTGACAGAAAGATTATTATTCTATGAACATGCCTGACCACAGTTTATGCAGCTTTCAGGACCTTCCGCTGGCGCGGGAAACGAACAGAGTGTGGGCCGCGCGCAGCTGCAGTAGCTTGTTCTTCTCTGCAGAGCTGCTGAAGGGTGTGTTTGTGCAGGACGAGCTGTTAAAGAGTAATGCCTGTCACCCGCTCCAAGGTAAGAAAAGCTACATCTTTAAAATCCTTTTAAATCAGTTATCGGCAATATTTTGTTTATCGTATTGATAGTGAAACGCATTTATGATCGTAAACTGATCCATTAAGGTGAGCACAGACATTTATGATCGTACTGTAACAGATTAACGTTTCCGTTTAAATCCTACGTTTCCTATAACTTACTGTAAGAAAGTTAATTCAGCCTTTCTTTGTTTGTTTGTCTATAAGTAGTGAATTTAAGAATATAATAAATTTGTTTTATCTTAGACCAAGCCTCATTGGATAAGAATTGAATTTAATACTACTTTCCTAACTTAATTAAGGGTTTTTTTATGGCTTGCACTTTGGTCGCTGCTTATAAAAGACTCCTGTTTTCCACACATACCTGTTACCCTTTATAGAAACTGGCGGTCCAGCCTGCATCCACCAGGATGAGTTTGGTAAGAGTTTGCAGCATCCCACTGGCTCCAATAGAGACCTCCTCCTCTACCTCCGATGACAGCTGCGACAGCTTTGGCTCCGATGGAGGCTTTGCAACTACGGTAAAGATAAAATACCAGCAATCGGCAGAAGTATAACTGTTTGTAGCATCATCTGCAACTAAATGTGTGTGTCTCTGCGTTTAGAGGAGGAGCAGCTTAAGACAGTCTAGGAGGACGGCAGGGAAACCAAAGGTGTCTAAAGCTACATCCGAGGAGGATACATGTAGTGGGTTTGAGGAGAGTGTGATCAACACTGGTATGAAAGCCATGGTAAGTTTTTGGGAAAAATACAATTGCAGCATATTTCATATGTTCATCAGACACAACAAAAGTTTCTTGTAACAATAAATTCTATTATTTTTCAGAAAGTAGATTCTGAATCTCTGAGACGTGGCCACAGGTCCAAAGTTCTGAAGGTTGCCATGATGTTTCCCACTAAAGCGACTGGCAAGAAGAGGCCTGCATCCAAACCACTTCCTCAACTGAAAGTGCAGGATCCTGACTCCGACTCGGAGGAAGAGGGGAACTTCATGGCCAAGAGAGCCATGAATATTAAGGAGAACAAAGAAATGGTACAAGTTTTTTTTTTTTTTCACATTTTTTTTTCACATTTGGTGAAAGGGAAGGAGGATATAACTTAAGGGGACACTTAAATTTAAGGGTTCATGCTGTACGTACAACCAAAAAAAGATTTTGTATTTCTATAAGTGGGGTCAAATTATGGATGATTTTGAATTAGTATTGGTTGGATATGTGTAATCATGTGTGTTATTGTCATTTGATCATTGTTCTGTTCTGTTCTGCATGTTTGAAAGAATAAATCAATCAATCAATCAATTATTTCTGAACTCTGGTCAGAAATTAGGAAATGGGGCGGCTGTGGCTCAGGAGGTAGAGCAGGTCGTTTCCTAACCGGAGGATTAGCGGTTCGATTCCCGGCTTGTCCAGTCAACATGTCGAGGTGTCCTTGAGCAAGACACTAAACCCCCAGTTGCTCCCAGTGATGCCACTGGTGTGTGAATGCGTGAGTGCTTGGGAGTGCGAATGGGTGAATGGCCAAATAATGTGAAAGCGCTTTGAGTGTGCTGTAAAAACATAGAAAGGTGCTATACAAGTATAAGACCAAGACCAAATGTTTCCATCTATTCATTCATGTATGTATTTACAGCTTGCGAAGCTCATGGCAGAGCTGAACAAAGTGCCTGGATTCTTCCCCGGTCGGATGGCAATGTCGACATCTAATACGGTAACTTCACTTAAAAAGAAGAGACTGGGTTTGCCGATTCACACAAACACACCACTAAAGCACAGTGTGTGTTATCAGGTCTCTGTGCTAACTGGGATTGTTTGAACTTCTTCAGCCCCGACAGACACCTCGGCGGTGCATGGGAACCCCGAGAAAATCTACCCCGAGAAATCTCAGAAGAAACCCAGAACGTTTGTCTCGCCCCCATACACGATCCCGCACGCTTGTGGATGGACCCCCCAGCCCCACTCCACAAGAGGAGCCTGAGGATAAGTTCAGCTTGGTTCGTCAAAGCCGCTACTATGAGGAAGATGATGAGCCAGTATGTCACATCACAAACAGTCTGTCTCCTTCTACGTTGCACTAAATTGTTAACATACATTAAACGCACTAACTAACTACATTTGTTTCCTGTACAGCCTCGCCGTCGTACGTTTAATGGTACCAAGGCCATCCCTCACGTAGTGCGGCCTGTGGAGGACATCACGGAGGCAGAGCTGCAGGGGATCTGCCACAATGTGCGGGAGAAAGTCTACAACAGCTCCACTGTATGTATCATCTTCACTGATGAGATTTGAGCAGCTGTATTTCATGGTAAATCTGTGGTAACACTCTTTTCCTTCTCTCAGGGATCTACTTGTCACCAGTGCCGCCAGAAGACAACAGACACCAAAACTAACTGCCGAAATCCAGAGTGTGTCGGGGTGAGAGGTCAGTTCTGCGGCCCGTGTCTCCGTAACCGCTATGGGGAGGAGGTCCGAGACGCTCTGCTGAATCCGGTGAATACTTAAACATACGAGATTGCATTCACATTTGATGACCCACGTGTGGCAAGTGTGACTGATTTCACTGTCGCCGGTAGGAGTGGCAGTGCCCGCCTTGCAGAGGGATCTGTAATTGCAGCTTCTGTCGCGCCCGAGAAGGTCGCTGCGCCACAGGAGTGCTGGTTTACCTGGCTAAATATCACGGCTTTGATAACGTGCACGCTTACCTGAGAAGGTGACTAGAGCATTTGTAAAATTTGATGGTGCATTTTAGTTTTAGATTTGTTTCTAACGTGAAGGTTCTCTTCTCTTTCTCTGCAGCTTGAAGAAGGAACTGGAGGAGAGCAGCGAGTGAACGAAGGAGGTGATCGTGGACCTGACTGACGTGCTCTGTGACCGCTCTGACACGTGCACAGTTTAAATATTGCTCCCAGTGTTTCAAGAACTATAACAATATATTGGTCATGTTTGTCAAATTTCACACATTTTTCTTTTGAGCAGTGATATCTGGAGGGGGCACGCACGCACACAGCCAGTCCCCTCTGTTGTAAAGCTTTCATTGTTTTGTTCTGCCACATATTTTCCTGCCTGTTCTCATGAGCTGAGCCTTTACATTAGGACTGGTTGGTTGTGAACTACCATGCAAGCCAATTTTAGTAAAATGCATTAAAACATAAATTGCTAATTTGTCCAAAGAACCCTCTGTGGACTTGAATATTTTATGATGACTGTATTGTCCTCTGATGTACATATTCCCTGAGCATGTATAAATCTCTTTTTATACCTGAATTATCTTACTTGCTGCAAAAAATGTTTTAGGCTTGCATAAATGATATACTGTTGTTTATATTGTTTTAAATGAATATGAATTAGTGAGCCATCTTAGTTCCCTTTTCCAAATGTATGCTTGTGTTTTTACAAGTTTAGGCTTTGTGTAAATGCGAGAAAAAATGATTTTGATTTACTGGGGCTGACCTGTAGAAAAGGTCCAGCGATCTGCATGCTACTGCGATGGTGCAAGTGGAAAGGGCACCGACTGGGGTTCGCTGCCTCTCACTTCTAAACCAAGAGGAACTGTGTGATATACTACAGCGCCTGGTTAAATCTCCCTCATTAGATAACTGGCACTAATGGTGTGGAAACAATTAGCACACTAATGGGAACCTTATACCTGTAAATCATTTTATCCTGTTAAAGTACGTTCTCGCTGTGCTCAAGTCTGTGGCTCATTTTCTGCCTTACACTGTTGAGTAGGAATGGCTGAAGGTGCTGCTGCAGTGGCGGTAGAGTTATGGCCTGCATTTCCTGTTCACAAGTGTGGTACTCTACACAAAATGACATGGAATTAACCTCTGTGTTGTTCATCTTTGAAAATGTGCTTCACTCGACCTGCACCAGGATGTACTCTGATTACGTGATACTGTTTTGAAATAATCAACGGTTGAGGTTTCTTCTGTACTGTAATGGCAGGTGGAGGTTATCTTACTGCAGCTGATGTTTGTCAGGCACCGCACTCCTAACAGGAAGAGTGGTGCCGCACTGTTGATGTATGCTTTGTGCTCATAGGGTTAACTGTACATTTTCATTAAAGTGTTAATCACTGCAGAATCACATTATCAGTTGTCTTTGACTTGACCATTGCTCTATCCAGAATAGTGGCAGCTGTAATTACTGTTGTTGAAAAAGAAGAGAAATGCTGAAAGCTGGTGGTGATTGATCTTACCACTGAAATCTGGAGGCTTAATTCTGTTTCTAGTGAGTTTATAGTAATTCAGAGAGTAAAACTTGCACTAATGTATTCTGGTTAAAGTATTGACACTTACCTTTTACAAGGCTGTTGCAACCGCTGCACTCCGAGGGGGTCTGGGTTGTTGCTAAGCTGCTGGTTGGGATAATCACTGCTCCAAGCTGCAATAAAGGTGCAATATGAATAGATTTTGATTAATTGAATGGTTCAGTTGTAAGGAAAGCATGTAGACTTGTTCACTACCTTTACACAATGCAGATGTTAATCCAGTAAAAATGAAAT